GGTGTCCCAAGTTCGGTTATTTGGAAAGGAACAAAAACTTGAGGACATACGATATGTAGTATATCTGTGTGTGTGCGCGCATACATACACGTGTGCAAAAAAAAGAAAAACTAGCGTTAAGTGCTACTTTTTAGAAGAAACCAAGTAACATATTTAAACCGCAGGTATGGGTATTGAAGAGTTAGACTTCGCGCTATGATGTCTTTCTAAATCGCTGAATGATGGGAATATAGCAATAGATTAGTGCAGATTCCATAATAATCAAAGTTTAATAAATGCAAAGCACACTTTCAGCCATGTCAAAAGGAATGGGTTATCCGCGTTCCAGATCGTTATGTATCTAACGGTGCAGTAGCTCGAAAGACAATGGAGCTCGGAGAAATGAATCTTGAAGTGGAACCAGAAAATGAAAACCAAGAATGTATACATCAATGATGTATACATTCTTGGACTACCTGAAATTCATTCATCATTTTATGTTTCTTAAAAATTCATCCTACATTTAAAAAGAACGGCTGAATTCTCCTTAATAAGCAGTATACACCAAAGCTGACTAATTTAAGCAGCAGGTCTTCGTAGCAGGCAGTCGATATCTTCAGAATCAATGTAGCAGTCGAACTCTAGGAACGGACTACTACCAAAATGAGACTTCAGCAACCTGAACCGCACAATACGTCATCACAGAACCTGAAAGATTCATTACGCAACTGCCTGTCGCTTCATTCAAAGTCGCGACATGAAAAATATAGTCCTAGCGAACTATAGTTGTCAGGTATGGCTTTATCAACTGCGAGTTTGCTGATAATGTTGTGGGAGATGATAGGATGGATGGCAGTTCATTCGTTTGAAAGTGACATACATAAAAAAACAGATGAGTAGATACGAAAAAGCTTTTCTTGCTCATTGTGGGCAAACACGTCACTTCGTATTCCATTCATTTAAGAATAGTCGAAATTCGAATTTTATTAAAACCAAATGTCAAAATTTAATTTGTTAGAATGACGGTGATGTATAACGTAAAATGAATCAATAACATAAAATGGCAACGATAGATCGAATATTTTGCAAGTTTCTATAAATCCTTTAGCTTGAAATTCATTTTTAAACTACACTTGTGTCACCTTCAGCTTGATCTCGTAGAATCATTTGACTATTATGAATCCTTGCTTTGAAAATTTCCAACTCATTCTGGTTCTTAAGTTTATTTAAGCGATTAACTAGAACATTTAACAGATAACGTATGTGTACAGTTCAAATGAAAATGAATCACTTTCCTCCAATAATCATAGAGAAGACAAATTATATGAAGTGATTTATACAGAAACAAATTGGATGGTCAGTTCAATAAGTGAAAAACCGCAGCTGTAGTTGTCCGGAATTGTCCGGAATGTATCTGAGATTTTGTATTACTTAATTCATATATGGTATTACATACAAAAAAAATCCAGTATTGCTCAATAAATATTTTTAATAAAGTGGCTATAAAAATTACACGTTCAAGGCACTATCTTCAAATTAGGATGATTAAATCCATTAAAAAAGGGTTACTACTTTGAAATAAATGAGAGAGATGAATGTTAACAAATATTGTAGATGCTACCCAACCTTCAATTACTATAAAGTATAATGAAAAAGAAAAAAAGAAAAGAGACATTTCAGCATACAATGGCATAAGATATAAAATTTTTAAAGAATGATAAGTGGAAGGACACGCGTTTTCAATAATTTTCTTGAGTTGAAGTATTAAAATAAAAGTTTTATATTGGCAAAAAAGAAAAAAAATTATAGATAGCATTTTGCAAGCAACTTCTGGGCATTATAAACAAAACGTAAGGTCGAAATTCATTTTTTTTCATGTTCCTAAGAAATCTTTATTTTGAAATTGAATAACTAACACCAAACAAATCATATGTCAGTGTCAAAGTCCAATAAAACAATGAACTACAATTGAAATTAGTTGAACCTAAAATTAGAGAAATTAAGCCTCCCCCATTCGAAATATTTGCTGGAATCTAGCATGTTTCATAAAACTCTCAAAAATAGCAGATTTTATGAAGAGCAGTAAAACTGAAAAACGCTTCTAATAATAGCGCAACTATATATATAAAATATATATTAACAGTTGTGCTATTATAAGAAAGCTATCAGTATTATACAAAGTGAAAATATTAGCCAACAGGCTCATAGCCAACAAGATCAGATTGCTCCAAAACCCATTGCTGCGTCCGATTTTCGGCTGACTTTTTTGATGATGAAGGGGTAACCAATGAACGTTTTCGTTGCTTCTGTTTATTTTGAGGGGCTGATGTTGACGTTCCTGGAAAATGTGGCAAAATAATAGACAAACACTTATCAAATGATTCATTTTCTCATTTACAAGTTAGTTGATATTATTTAAAACATAATTGCTCTCCTTCGAAATTTATTATTTGCACGATCAGAGAAGCTCAGAGGATGGAAATAATTTTATGGCACAAATAGACTAAGTAGATTAAATTACGAGAAAGATAGAAAGTTGAATTGTTAAAAAGGACAGAAAGTTGAGAAGTTAGGGAAATTAATCACTTTACATAATAGCTGACCTCGGTTGACCTACAGGCTTTACTTTTTTAGTTTCCACTGTGGTATCAAACAATCTTGGAAGTGCTTTAATAATGTTTATCTTAGAACGGCAAGAAAGAAGCCTATTTAATGTACTGCGATTATACGAAAATTTCGATTAGCATTTGTTGGTCTGAGCGGAAAATGAAAAAAGTAAATGTTAATTAAATGTTAATAGAAAGGAAGTATTTTGGTCGAAAGTCTCTCCTTTCATGGCCACTTCGATTGACAAAAAGAGATTTATCTTATCAGTGAACAGGAGATTCAGAAAAATGATACTGAAAAATGTTGTGAAAAGAAGAAACATTTACCGTTTGGTATCCTTTGGTGCTGATTTACTGCCGTCGAAGTTTGAACGATGTGTTTTGATGGTGAAATACTTGTTGGTCGATAATGTTTTCGATGCCGTCGGACCTCACCATTCGGTGAAGAAGCCTCATGAGGAGGCACCAGTGGTGGTGATTGCGAAAAATTTAATAAATTTAAGGGAGGAAGTTTTTTTTCTGGCTGAACAGTTATAGAAGGGCGTGATGACTCAATCACTTTAACAGATTCCAGTCCACGCTGAAATTTAAAATTATTTGTTGTTATTTCGAACATAAATAGATTTGAAAGTCCAAATTTGAAATTACCTTGATTTCTAGATTTAATGTTCAAACTCCCTAAAATACCTGAAAATTTTTTCCAACAGATCTCTAAAGAGAGGATGCTTATACTCGAACTAAAGAAAAACTAAAGAAAAAAATTAAAGAAAAAAAGAAAAACGTTTTAAAAGCCTCAGGAAATCTGAAAATATCCTGTTATGAGAGATTAATGAGAATTGGGAAACCAAAACAAAGATAGCCTATCCAACAAAGGAATAAGAATGGAACAACTTGGATACTGACAGCATTTACTCCACGTCTTGGCCTCTTCGTTAATCAGTTCGAATTGTGAATTTAAAAATGAAATTTGAAAATACTGCTTTTCAGTGATGTTAGAAATTTTTCAATTCTAATAGAATTTGTTAAAAGTTACTTTAAAAATTCTTCATTTAAAATACCAAGGAAGAAACAAATAGAGGTCAAACAATAATTATTCTGAAATATTTTAATTAAATTGAAAATCCGGTAAAAACAACAAACGAACGTCGATGACAGTTGTACTATCGTCTGAATTTTGACCCGTGTTATGCTGTGGAGCGCCAGTAGAACGTTTGAGTTCATTGGTATTAGTTTCAATAGCAGTTGTATATGGATCACGGAAACGAATTCGTTCATTACGTCTACGACGTCGCTCGCAGCGACGAGCTTCACGCTCTAGCAAATATCGTTGGTGATCGATTTGTTTGGCCAAGATATTTGATAGACATACTGATATACACTGTAAGTTATTTGTAGAAAACAATATTTGTAAATAATGAGAGACACACTGTTTCAAAATAAAACATTGATTGCTTTTCAAGCAAATGCCTTTTCGCATGAACACTTTTATTGAAGTAACCTGAAGGAATTCTTTGCAATAATTCATTCACTTCAGATGAAAAATCATACAACAGGAATAATGATGATGGCGACAACGGCACCGACGTGTACGGCATGACTTTCGAAAAGTATCCGTAACGGTTGCAAGCATCCTCGTGTGTGTAAATCAGTTTCCAACTCTTGAGGACGTTTTGTTTGCGCATTCTGCCAACATTGCAATGATCGCATTGCTGGTAATAAAGGATTGGTAGAGCCAGCCGCTGCCTCTGATACCTGCTATTTTTTCACTGTGAAGTTTTATTCGCAAAACTTTTTTTGGTTAAAATTGTCACTCTTCCGTTATTATTCGATAAAAAAGTGACCGAAATATGTTACCAAATATAAAAGCATAATCTCTTTATTTGTTTAAAAACACAAAATTCTCTCAAATATCTTAAAAACTAATACAATTTAGCAAAATTCTGCACTTTTTATACTGTAATTTGAGAAAAATAATTTGGCAAAATGGAAATAATTTTTTATAATTTGCATAAAAGTATTTTAAATATAAGTTTCGAAAAACAGTCTGTTAGAATCTGAAACTTACCACAGATCGTTTGCAGCAACTGAATGGTACTCCACATTTTTCTGGGTAAGGATTGGTCGGATTACAATTGAACTGATCCGCGAGTTGCCAGTCCCGATAACCTTGTGAAGCTGATGATACACCACAGCATTCAAGCTGCAACATCATGCTTACACCACTAAGATGGAGGACTGATTCAAAGATTTAATATCTCTCGCTTAGAGCCTTTAACAATTAAAAATTTGATAATGAGAATTAAATTTGGGAACGGAATCAAGAATTTTTATAAAGCTAATAATGCGAACTCGTACATTATTGTAATAATTATTGAAATTTTAAACATAAATATGAAAAACAATGAAGGTTACCTGTTCTTGAATATAATCCACAAAATCAGCTAAATTTCTATTGGTATGATAATTTTTTACTGAGTAAATGAGTATACTGTGCGCCGAAAGACCTTCCGTCGTATCGGAATAGAATAATATAAACAATAAAAATGTGAATATTACAATAACAATATAACAGAAAAAAACACTGAGTGCGAACTGAAATTTTAAAAATAAATTAGAGAAAATATTATTTATTATTACTATTATTACTATTATTACTATTATTACTATTATTACTTCGTCTCTTGTAGGACTTTTGACTTCATGCCTATTTTGTTAGCAAAAGGGAAATAACGGGAAAAAAGATCGTTTTTATCGCACAAGGTAAATTAACTTCTGTTTTAAGATGAA